TCCACCTGTGGCTTTACTCCCAGGTTGACCCCTGTTCTTTAGCTGTTCCCTTCGTCTGGCAACTCTGCGCTTGCGCACACTGGGAACAGGCTCCAGCTGTTCATCTGCCTCACTGACGTCTGACTCCGAAGGCAGCTGATAACTGACAGACAGCCCTGGCCCCCTCTCTGCCTCTGATACAGAGCCCTCATCAGAGCCTCCCCCAGACTCCAGGACTGGCCCAGGTTCCTCCCCAGCTTCCTCACTGTCTGACTCGGCTGACAGCTCTGCTGGTGGGCCACAACACTACCAAATCGGTTTTTCCGAAGTGGCATTTTAAGAGCTTAGAAGATGAAAGGGATAATTTGCATAGGCTGGTTGGAGTCATTGTTCCAGATTCCGAAATCTTCTTGTATATCTCTGCCTTAGTTCAGCCTTTTAGTGTAACGGTTCACCAAACACCATTAGATATTGTTAAGAATATCATCAGAGTTTCCTGTTGATAATAGTTAGCGTAGCATAGGAGACGTCCACAAATCAAATGAGTAACCGTTTCTCTCTCAGGGCTTTTGAAGGCATTTGCGTAATAGATTTGTTTGACTCATATGCAAATGAGAAAGGTTAGCAAGAAATGTCTTAGGCCTGAGTGATCTTTTTATACTCTCCCTGGTCTATTATTAAACTTCTCCTTATCTCATCTATTGACAGAAATTCAGGTGATAATCTGAGATAACACTGCCTTCTTTTTCCCAAGTTGTAAACTGGCTATATCAAATACTTTCACAGATGTCAATTTTCTTGAGATTTTGGAGTACAGTTTAAAGTGTTTACCAGTAATAACACAATTGGTTTGTGGAGATGAACCTCTAGGTAAGGAGTGTCAGACTCAAGGCCCATAGGCCAGAGGTGTGGCTACATCTGGCTCACAGGGCTGCCGTGGAAATGGTGAGGGGCACCCCTGATCTAGGATGTTATTGATAGACTTGCATAGGCTTTCCATGACAGGCAGGATTTGAATTAGGGATGCATAGTCTGAAATCCCAAATCCATGGATCTCTTAGAGCCTCTTTGAAAGTTGCTGAGGCAGCTGATCACTATGAGAAATTAGAAGGATTTGGCCTGTTGAGAAGAGACCTGTATTTTTAGATTTGTTTGGATTCACATTCTTCTTATATTGGACCACTTCGCTGGACAGATCATCATTTCGTTTCTGTTCTTCTTTCATTTTTTGTTTTTTTACATATTTAGAAACATGGGGGTTGATTATCCAAAAGGTCCCATGTAGGGCGGAAACTGAATCTCAGTTCCTGCTTTTATCTTTCTAGCTTTCCCTGGGATTGATTATTGTTCATGTGTGTGTTAATTCTCTCCTTTCAGCGTTGGAGAAGGTAGACGTGACAGAGCACTGCAGGGAGCTCATCAAGATTTTAAAGCAAGTGGACCAAATGAAGCAGAAATTCACCCCTCTGAAATTGATCGATACTTGGCTGGGGAAGGGTCTATCAAAACTGGGATTGGAGATTGCTGCTCCCAAACTTCCCCGCGATGCATTGGAGAGAATCGTTGCCCATTTGATTCTGCAGCAGTATCTGAAGTAAGTCCGGCGGTTTTTAAAAATCCATTCTTTTCCGTGCAACCCATGTAAATTCTCCATCGCCCCACTGCTTATATCTCTTTCACAGATTGCTGGTTTGAGCAATTGGTGTCTAATCTTAGTGCATGTCCTGTAAAACCTCTCTAAATCTGTCAGAGTTTGTTGCAGAAAAATCAAATCCAGAAAGCACACACAGATAACTGACTCAGCTGGATTCATTAACTTCTTTATATATATAATAACAGATGAATAAATGTACAATAACAAAAGTAGATTCGTTCAACGTGGTAGAAGTTACAAGCAAACCCAAGCAGGAGAGCAGACAGAGTAGTTTCAGTTTCGATTCTCAGCACAGACTCAGATCTGTTTAAGCTCCCATTGGCTGACTTAGTTGCTATGCCTATTCATTGGCTGATCTTGTTACCATGTCTCTCCCAGTCATGAATATTCTAACAAAATCCTTCCTTTTGGTTAACAAAAAGACTTTGCCTTCCAGGGAAGACTTCAGCTTTACAGCCTTCGCCACAATATCCTATGTGAAGATAGGACCCAGAGCTAACCTTCTGAAAGATAAGGCTCATGTTATCACTATGCAAGGGATACAGGGCAAACATAAAACTGCTAAGGTGAGATTGTGTTATTTCTTTTTCCTTATTTTTCAACAGCAGTTATCTAGTAATTCCGGCTGTGGTATATTTCAAAGTTATTACTCTTCTCTTTAGCTTATATTTCTGAAAAGCGCATTAGAATGTTATTATTCGTTATCTTTCCCTGATTTATAGGGGGAAAATATCCAGACCAAACGTAATTTCTAATGTTGGATTTTCCCCCGTACCAGAGGGAGCCCCCTTGTGGAGTACTGTGAAGCCGTTACCATGGCAACTCCACTGAGCTGCACAGTGGAAGCCATTTAAAGGTAGTACAGTAGAAGCCATTTTAAGACACAACAGGCTGTATCTTAACAGAAGACCCACCCTAAGAGGCGTTAGGGGTGTCTTACCCCCACAGTATTTGTTTCCAGAGGGTAAGTCATCTGTGTACCAAGTTCGGTTAAAATTGCTCGAGGCATTCCAGAGTTAGTCTGGAACATACACAGCTGTTTTTTTATATATAGAAGAGGAAGATAGAACTTGGAGGTAAATTGAGAAGTCTGTTGTGGCTCTGCTGCCTTCCCAGGAATATCAAGGTGGTAATTTTCAATTCTGGAACAGGCAGTGGCTTCTACTTGGATCTGATTTCCCAAGACACTTTCTGTTAGTCTTGAATCTGCCAAGGGTAACAGAATTCCAATGAGATTTGAATTTTGATGTGGCTGTAGTATTCCTTGGACCAGGGAACTTGTAGCAAGAACTGCCTGTTTCAAAATACTTTTTTCCCCTGAACATGTACTTACACAAGTAACTGCTTGGTGCATGATTTACTTGAACAATTAAGAGTAGGATCTATGTAGTCACATGATGTCTCAGCTTTGTGAAACTCACAAGCATTAAATTACTGGTTGTGAGCAGATAGTAAATCTAAAGGCTGCCGGGAGGCTGAATTAAATCTCACCATTCTAAAAATGTGGCTCGTGTCAGCTAAATGATTCCACGATCCGCATCAAAAGATATATGGCATGATAATAGATCTACAAGCTTCAAATATTTGAAACACATTGGCATCATTGTATCAGTTTCCTGTATTGCTTGCTAATACTTACTTCTAGAGAAGTTAATCAGGTGCCCTCCAATAAGTTTGGTCTATAGCTACCAAAAATCACTTGGCCATGGTTATATTGAGTTGATGGACATATTTGGAAGGCCTGCTATTTGTCTAATCAAAGCAATGTCTTTTCTATCCCTATAACCTAACTCAGAGAAAGGCAAAATATTGCTTTTGTTAATGGAACCATATTTGCCAGAATTTTCAAGGAGAAGAATCAGAAAAGCATTACCCATGTAAAGTTTGTATTTGCTTTAATTTGTTAAAAATGACTTCATCAACAGGGAAAATGTTCTCAATTATCCAGCCCGAGGACCCCAGGAAAGAAAATGAAGTTTACATCCCCAAACCAGGAAAGTGACTCTCTTACAAAAGATCACGTTAAAGCAAAAAAAGTCAAACTTATGGCTAATAAAGAAGAAGAGGATGAGCTTGTCATCATAGATTAAGAAAGTTGCTTCTTGGGACAATCTACATACATCTTTGCCTGTAGGAAGACAGGCCAGTCAGAAAAAAAAGAATTTGGTTGGAGAAATCAGGCTGCATATTGGTGACTGCCATCATCTGCTGCTCCCTGGTTACAAAGCTATGTTGGCAAAAGAAATGGTTTTCCTTATGTTTTTAAACATACATACAGACTCAGATTTTTTAAAAATACAGATATAAAACCTATGGTAATGGAACTGGAGAGTTTGAGGCAAGCGTCAGCCGCTTGGCATAAAGTATTGTATTTTTTCGGACTATAAGACGCACCTAGCTTTTGGGAAGGAAAACAAAAAAAAATCTGCCTCTGTCTCCCAGCAATTTGCTTCCTTGCAGCAAACAGCAAATCGCCTGGTCAGCTTCAGCACAGCCTGATTTAGCACGAGCAGCTGATTGGTGGTTGGATTGGCCTCCCGGAATACCGCCAATCAGCTGTTCCAGGCTGCAGGGATCGGTGGGTGTGCAAAGCTTCAGCAACATTCGCTCTATAAGACGCACAGACATTTCCACCCACTTTTCGGGGGGGGGGGGAAGTGCATCTTATAGACTGAAAAATTCCATTAGTCTGTCTTAAAAAAAGTAATGCCTTTTCAGCAGGGAGACTCCTCGACACGAACTGTTCCAATTTGCTGCTGAAATAAAAATGCCTTGAAATGCAACTTTATACACTCACTTCTTGAAAAGTCCAGTGTGCGAAGTTTATTCTGACACATTAGTTAAAAGTAATTCCTGAAATTATGAGGGATGCAGTGATTGTGGATAAAAATTCAGTTCTGGTATAAATATTCAACAAGAGCGCTCAGTACAGGGTGCTTATTTTAGCTGCTATCCCTAACTGACATAGCTGGGTGGATTTATGTAGAATAAGGTTTGATTTAAAATGTGAAGAGAAGCTGCTTTTTAAAAAAAAATGGGGAAGAACAGCTTGAAAGCTTTGGGTTCTGATACTTAAAGAGGCCCTTTCATCTGTAGAAAAAAATCTATGAACATAGAATGCAGTTCCATTAGTACTGCTTCCATTTTTTAAAAGTCATCATAATCAAAGGATCGTGTAAATTCTCCATGTTGATGTCATGAAGCTGTGACAAAAGATTGTAATGTAATTGAGCTCAAAGTAGCCCTTTGCTTTTTTAACTCAACTATTTGATGATGTTCTTAAATGAAAAGCTGTAAGCAACAAACACCTTCAGGATTTAGAGTCCATCTTGGTTTCTAAGCATAGAAATGATACTTCAAAGTAAATGTTTATTAAATTGGAGCAGTATCTGAACCTGGTCTCATTATCTCTAAAAGTTTTAATGGTAGCTTAAGTCTTAATACTTAGTTGCCTTGAAATTCTGAAAACTGCCCCAAAAGTTTAAAAGGAAAATATAGATTAGAAAAAAGTTAGAATATAATGAGTATCTTATGTAGAGCTTGGACTCACATCTATTCTTTACAGAAAACTCCTTAAGCATGTGAGTTTCAATTGTAAACATTTAGGCCTGCTATTAAAAAACCCAGACTATTCCCATATTATATTAAGCCTCATCTCTCCTTCCCTGAGTGAAAGAGAAATCTTAATGGGTCAAGAAAAACGAATCTTGTGATAGCATAGGAAACAAAGCTGTTACAGGATCTGGTAGTCCTGCTAGAAATACTTCAAAATGTACATGTTTGGAAATAAACTTCATGCAACAAATTAGCCATTCAGAGCAAATTCTACCGTATTTTTTTGAGTATAACACACTCCGAAAAATAAGATGCACCTAGCTTTTGGGGAGGAAAAAAAGAAAAAAAAACTGCCTCTGTCTCCCAGCATTTTGCCTCCCTGCAGCAAACAGCCCATTTCAGTTTCAGCACAGACTGATTAGCACAACCAGTTGATTGTTGGTTCGTCCTCCCGACCATCAGCTGTTTCAGGCTGCAGGGATTGCCATAGCCTATTGCCATCTCCGTGCACCCCATTTTCGGGCTCTGCATCCCGTTTTCAGCATCTGCACACACCATTTCCCCGTGAGGATCGGAATGGGTGCAAAATGGGGAGTGTAGAGGCCGAAAGCAGGACGCACAGAGGCCAAAAATGGGATGCGGAAGCCGAAAATGAAGCGCGCAGAGGCAGCAATAGGCAATGGCAATCCCTGCAGTCTGAAACAGCTGATGGTCGGACGATCCAACCGACAATCAACTGCCTGTACTAATCAGGCTGTGCTGAAGCTGAAACAGGCTGTTTGCTGTTTGGTTCAAGGAGGCAAATTGCTGGGCGGCAGAGGCCAAAGGGTGGTGGCCAGCCGGTGGGTGCGGCTACATTCTGTGTATATGATGCACCCAAACTTTCACCCTCTTTTAGGGATAGGGGAGTGTGTCTTATACTCCGAAAAATATGTTATATGATGCATTTACATTTCAACTTTGGGGGGAAGGGAGGGGTAGGAGGAGAAATTACAGCATTTGGAAATATCAGCCATGATTTAGCTAGAATCAAGTTGCTGTTTTATTCCAGACTGTAAACCATTCATACCATAAATTATTTTGGATGATAAAGGGGTACTTTTAAATAAGAGTTTCTTCGTCTTTTGTCAGATTCCGCATGCCCTTGAAATTGAGATTACGCCAAGTCTAAGTCCATCCCAGTTCAGGAAAATCATTTTCCTGAGATCCCCCCCCCCCCCGATGTTTAATCAAAATAATCCTCAATATCAATATTTGGATCCAAAAGGTCTTTGCCATAGCGGGAGAGATCCATCTGATTCAGAATCAGGTTTTCAAAGGTTTCTTCCAAATCCGTTTCTCCTATCAGCACTGCTCCCAGCATTCGCCCATTCTGCATCACCACTTTGATGTATTCCTGTCCTTTGGTGCACCTTAACATCAGTTCATGGTCCAAACCCAGGCCTTGCGCATTATATTTTCCCAGCAGCACCACCTAGACAAAACACCAAGCGATAAAAGTCTGATAACGTCTGAAATCTTAAAACATTTGTCTGAAATGTTATATAGTTTCATGCTTAAGAGCCATGTTGGCGCAGTGGTTAGAATACAGTCATTGAAGGCTAATTCTGCCAACTGCCAGCAGTTTGATTCTGACCGGCTCAAGGTTGACTCAGCCTTCCATCCTTCCGATGTGAGTCAAATGAGGACTCAGATTATTGGGGGCAATAGGCTGACTCTGTGAACTGTTTAGAGAGGGCTGTAAAGCACTGTGAAGCGGTAAGTGCTGCTGCTATTGAGCAGAGGGTTGGACTAGAAGACCTCCAAAAGTCCCAATTCTGTTATTCTGATATATAACTACTTCCAAAAAAAAAAAAAGCACAGAAAACTCTAAGCTCATTACTGATTTCTTTTGGATCGGCTGCACAAAAAAGACTGTCTCCTATCCTTTTCTTTTTATAAAGTTCCTTAGCAGGGAAAGTGATTTCAAATATCAAAATATTTACATACACTATATTGAGTAGGGGGTTGGACTAGAAGACCTCCAAGGTCCTTTCCTGTTCTGTTCTGTTTTAATCTAGCCTAATCCTAGTCCTAGTCTAATCTAACCAAAAATGCAGGCTGGTTGCCAAGTGACTGAAATGTCGTCCTGTGACGGCAAGAATGAGTTTGGACAGTGGAAACTGGGTTGTAAGTAGACTGTACAGTGGGAGGGGATCAGTGGTGGGTTTCAATTTTTTTTAGAACCTCTTCTGTAGGTGTGGCCTGCTTTGTGGGAGTGGCTTGCCAGCCATGTGACTGGGTGGGAGTGGCTTGCCAGCTATGTGACCGGGTGGGAGTGGCTTGGCAGTCATGTGACTGGGTGGGCATGGCCAACTTGTAAAATGTGGTGAAACTCACTTAACAACGCTCTTGCTTAGCAACCAAAATGTTGGCTCAGAAATTGACATTTGAAGCACGCAAGTCTTAAAGCTGTTCAAGTTACAAGACCCTTGCACCCCTAACACTTTATTAAAAAAAACCCAGGGGTGTTCAAACTCGACAGTTTTAAGACTTGTGGACTTCAACTCCCAGAATTCCTCCTCTCGCTCTTCATCTTGATGATGTGCAGACGGGCGGAGGGAGGGAGCTGGAACCAGTTCTAAACGGCACTGTAGATTTGTGGAACCTCTTCTATAGAAAAGGTTAGAACTGGCCGGAACCCACCCCTGGAGGGGATAGTAACTTTCAATGATCACTAAGCAACTCAAGAATTACCTGTACGGCTTGCAAATTTATAATAATGGATGCTAATTCAATACACAATGGACCATTAGCTCAACTTGGCATGAAACCAGTAGGGCATCCTTTTCCTTGGCGACTGTTTAAAGCCAATTGGTTACCTTGTAATTGAAAAACTTTGTAGAGTGAGCAAAGAGTTCAAAGCTGAAATCCGTTTCCAGCGGTTCTCCTAAAGAATCAGCCGCCATGCATTTTGCAGCGTACCATCCCATCTGGCGCGCCTGGGTCCACAGCCTCATCTGAAACCCAAGCCCAACAAAACGGTTTCATCATCCACATATGCAAAGCGTTGCTTTGGAATCAAGAGCATGCGATTCTACTGAAGGGTCCCATGGACTAGTTTAGGAACTTCCGCTCAAAGTTTACAATGAATATTTGCAACACGATATGGGCTCCTCCCAAACTTATTCCCTCTGTAAGACATACTGTACAGACATCCTTAAGCCCAGAACAAATCAGCATTTGTTTTACCTGCTGCCAAACAGGGCTGGGCTCCCATGAGGTTGTGCAGATATCTCCCGCTGCGTAGACGTTTGGCAGAGAAGTGCGCATGTATCTGTCGACTTTTAGACCTCCATCTTCACCTAGCGCAAACTTAAAACATTTCAGAGATAAATCAAAATCCGTGAAAAGAAGAAAAAAACAGCAGGTATAACTTCGCTCCTTTTGTATAATAGCTTTTTTTTTTTAAAGGTTTAATGAAGAGCGCACATGCACAACTGTTAGCTCATTCCCAACTTTAACAATCTCAGCAAAGAGATCTCTTATGACTTGAATTGCTCCGAGTGTCTTGGCAGGAAGTCAGGTAGCCCTTGACTTATGTCCATTTGTTTAGTGATGGGTCAAACTTGTAAAGTTGTCACTGGACAAGTTGGGTGGCACAAAAATTTAATAAGTAATAATCCTGAAAACAAGTGACTTACGACTTATCTTCAAATATAATTGATAAATATATTTAT